GGGGGGGGGGGGGGGGTGAAGGGCACAGCTGGGATTTTTTTTTTTTACACTGACTTCAGCAGAGGCTTAAATGAGGTGTGTATCAAATGTGTGAATGACGTGAAGGTAACTGATACATGGGATGTCAGTAAGGGTCCCCAAATAGCCCAATAGGCTGGAATGATGACATTTAACAGCATAAATGTGCAGTACTGCACTCAGGTTAAATCAATCAAACTCTTAAGTACAGAAGTGCAATGGCAGCAAGTGTGTCTGTGCGAAAAGGGGACAGCAAGTGCATTATGAACCCACAGTGAGATGTCACCGTCCAAATTCCCAGGAGACAAGGTCCAGAGATGAGAGGCAAGTCTCTGCAGCCTGCCTTCGTGAGACAGTGCTGAGAGAGCTGCACACACAAAACCCTGGTAGTCTGGCAGAAGTGCCGAAAGCTGAATCTCCTAAGGAGCCACAAAGGGACAGCAGGACGGCCTGGGAGAGACATGCGGGCCAAGCAGTCGTCCTCAAATGTGCAAAGGATGGAAGGCAGTGCTCAGGGACTCAAGCTGTTCTCTTTAGCTCAAGAATAGGACTACGGGTGGCAGCTGTAGGGAAGCTGACTGTTGCTCATCAAAAAAAGGCTTTTCCAGAAATTCCCACTGCTGGACAAGTGGACCTATGAAACAGTGAGTTTCTGGACCACTCAGGGTGGCCACGAAAGTCAGGCTGGAGCAAAAGAGAGGAGGGGCATCCATGAGAAGCTCCCTTCCAGCACCAGTTACACACACACACACACACACACACACACCCCTAGGGTGTGTATGCACCGTAGGCCAGAATTTTAAAATGTAACACTAGATGTTGGTTCTGTCTTTCTATGCTATCCGGACCACCCTGCTCAGAAACAGGCCATCAGAGCAGGACCAATTATCATGACCAGATCTGGCCTTTAAACTGACCGAGAGCGAGGATGGGATTTTTTTTTTGGGGGGGGGGGTGTTTTTTGAGACAGGGTCTCACTGTGTAACTCTGGCCTTGAATTTGATCCTCCTGCTTCAGTGCTGGGTTCACAGGCATGGGCTCAAGGGAAGTTTATATGCTTCTATATGCTTTACTTCCTGTGGAGGCAGAGGAGGGCTCAAGCAACTGGATACGGTTGCCCCACTATCTGGGTTAAAGCCCAAACTTCCCTTTGGTTCTAGGTTTCCCATCAGGGCATCTGCATACTTTTGGCAAGGACATTTCCACCTCTGCCCTGTGTGTCCTCCACCCCCACACTTCCTGGCAGGAGGGGAAATGTGGCCAAGCAGGAAGCCCTTACAAAGGCTGGCACTGATCTGGCCTTTGTTGGTTTGGGGTCCATTCTGTCTTAAGACTGTTCATAATCTGGCACAGAGACAAGTGGAGCCCCACATGATCAGCAGGCAGTAAACAGCAGTTCTGTGGATGCTTAGCATTTTAGTTAAGCTGTGGATGCTTCACAGAATGTGGGAGTAGGAGTTCATTAAAACTCCTACACACTCAAATCCCCTGGAGAACCTTAACAAAATTCCCAGCATCTACATGACACCCCATCTGGACCAATTACAGCAGACTCCTGGGGACCCACCTACCTACTTTACAGTCCACTCAGTGCTTCCTGCACACAGCCAAGCGGTGCCCTGGTGACTTTGCCCAGAGCTTCTCTCACTTACAGGGAAAAAGCATCACCTAGGGTCTTGCTAAGATGCAGACTCTTGTCTTAGTTCCTAACAAGCTCTAAAGCACTGTGGCTGCTGGTCCCTGGACCGCTCTCGGGTAGCAAGACTCCAGACAGCTAATTCAACTCAGATTTGCTAACTGGACTGACTTTCCAGAGGGGCTGTGGGTTAGGGGTTACCTAACCACTGCTCAAGAGTCAATGAGCAATTTGTTCTGTTCTACGAGAGGAGAATTTCTTGCCTTCTGGGCTGCAGTCATCACTTGCTGTTCATAGATGTCCAGGTTCTGGTTCATTAGTTCCAAGGCCTGCTTGCGGCCGATGAGAGCAAGGGGGTTCGGACTCAAGACAGCCTGGTGCTCGTACACAGCAGCCATGTAATAGTCAGCTTTGTGAGGGTCAGCTACGCAGTGGTCCTCAGTGCAGACTCCCAAGGCAAACAAAAAACAGCCGAAGAGGAAAAGAGTAAGCTTACTGCTGGCTCCAGACATAATGCGGACCATAAATCTGGAATGTAACGGAGCAAAGGAAAAACAGCTGAATAAAGAATCCTGCCAAGAATTTAACTTTCGCAGCTGTGATTTATTAATCTCAGCAATTAAACTCATCCACAGTGATACTGCAGCTCAAAGAGTTTGTTTCATGTTCCTAATAAAAGAGTATGTGTTTCTCTTCAAACACGTAGCAAGCTATGTTTTAAATGGCTCACTGTGTTAAGAGTCTGGTTTTAGAAAATTTCCAAAATAGACTCGAGGTTTGCCATGATTTTCTTATTCGGTATTCAGCAAGACTAATTTGTCACTGCTTGATTTTCTAGCTATGAACTTAAGTTTTAGGCAGTGGTAATAATCTGGATTATCTGACATAATTCTTTGATGTATTTCACACTCTGCCCCTGCCCTCTTTTTTTGCAAACACACTACATAAAGGCAGCCATCTAAACCAGGTATGACCAACAGAGTGATCCTAATACAGCTCAGCTTTCCTAGCCATAAAAAACTGAAGGATTAAAATTCTCTGCATTTTTTTGTGTTAGTAATGAATACAAAGGATGACTCTCCTTTTAATCAGCACAACATTCTTTAGTTGGGGCCAAGAAACTGCTGATTTCTACTCTGTTATGGACAGGCAAAAAGACTCCTGATCAAAGCGTGGCATTGTTTCCTTCCTGGAAGTTGAGAATTCCCACTGCACATCACTGCGTCCTCAACATTTATGACTCCAAATCTTGGGCTCAAAAGTACATTAGTTTGGAAAGAAAATCCTTTTTGCAGTGATGGAATGGAATTTTCCAGAAAATACATGAATTTTGTAGACTTTCACTTTGAAGTTACCATTGAAACCAGTAGTGAATGACTGCTGTGTGCTCCCCCACACACCCCAAGAATAGGGATGTTTATTTCTGAGTGTTTTAGAGTGGGTAGTGCAATTCTGACTTGAAAATCAGCTTAGCCTCCAAGCTAAAGCCTGCCCCCACCACCACCCCGGCATGCAAGGGGCATCAGTGGTGTGGCCAGGCCAGGCCAGGCCACCTGCCTGTGCAGATGTGCTGAAATCCTGATTAAAGATCAAGATAATAAAGTCAAGAAATTATATTGTTGCCCTTTAAAAAGAAAATGACACCTGTCTAAATGAGCTCCTAACTTCTGTACTTGCATCTCAAAACAAATTCCCCACGTCACAAATTTTATTTTGTTTTCCTTATTTTTTGGCCCAGAAACAAACCACCATCATTTGCAACAAGAAAATAGGACTAGAGAAGCTCATACAGAATCCTTGCAAAATTTGATTTTAGAAAGAGAAACATTCTCCACCCCACCCTGCCCCATCTGAAACTGTTACTTCTTTCCCCAGGGAATGAATGTACCATCTGAACCAAACCCCAGGCTTTGCTGCCATTCATCTGAGGCACTACTGTAAACAGTGTTTTATGATCAGAACAAGCAAGGCTTTGAGTAAGCAGTCATGAGTTTTTGAGCGGAAACAAAAGCATAATTGATAAGCTTTCTTATCTGGGTTTTTGTGTGCAAAGCCAAGCAAAGAGTAATTTAAAATGTCTCAAAAATCTATTTTCCATTCCATCTCTATCTAGTTTCATAATGATGACAGTGGGGACTGGCTCTTGGAGAGAACTTTCATCTTCCAGGTAATATTAACAATTTTTCTATGCTATAAGGCAATGGCTTCACTAAGAGGTGCAAAAACTGGAGTATGAGCTGCTGCTGAGTTGTAGCAGGGCACAAGTTGCTGGGGCTGACAGTATGCCCTTTCTCAACCGGGAGTGCTGAATTTGGGGACACAGAACTCTTTTCTTATGTGATCCTGAGATGGAACTTGGGGTCTTGTGCACACTAGGCAAAAGCTCTACCACTGAGCCTGTCCTCCCACCCCCAGCCCTCGGACCCAAACAGTTAAGTCTAAGAAACCTGTAATCCAGCGAAACAAGAAAACTGTTGAACCAGCAAGGTATCACATCTATTTTGAAAAAATAAAACTTATATTATTTACAGCAGAGCCTGTAGGAGAGCTGTAAGTGGCAATCATTTGCACATGAACAAAGGTAGGTTGATAATAAGAGGTTATGCAGATTTAACCAGGTATTCATGCTTGAAGATCACAAGCTTAATGAGGTAGGAGAGAGTGAGTAATTACAATAAAAATAGGTATGACAGCTTGCCCTTCCAACAGCAGTGAAGAAGACATTGTTATCAAAGCTCCAAACGCTGCTTTTCACCCTTTATTTGGCACCACAAACAGAGCTGAGCCAGGACTCTTAAAGGCTCCAGAGGCAGCTAAGTGGGGTGCTGGTTTTGAGCCGCATTGCAGGGGTCAGGGCACTCCCTAGATCAGTGCGGGAGAACCTACAGCACGTTTGCCACAGCCAGCTGTTTGTTATCATTGACATCTCTAAATGGATCACCATCACTGCCCTACATGCTTGCCAGCAGTTACCAGGTGCCAGCTCATGACAATATGCACAGGGGGATTGGGGCCTGGGGCTTCCTGGGAACATGGAGCCTGCCTCCACAACAGCAAAGAGCAGTAGGGCTGGGGCCCAGGAGAAAGGGGAGAGAGTGGTGGCAAAAGTAATCACAAAGATAATTACTGTAATAGGGCCCATCCACTGGCCTCCTAACACTTCCCTGTATCAGCCTGTACTCCTCAATCCCAGTCTCATTAGAGCAGATCCCTCAAAATCTTTTACTGACTCTCCATTTCACACAGAGTAAAAAGCCAAAGTCTTTGCAATTTGGCTACAGGAAGAACCCAAAGGACAGGGAGTAACTGGTGTGGGGAGAGATGTTGGGAGTGCCATCTTTAAGCAAGCAACTGATCTCTGAGCATAAGGAACATCAGTCCCAACACTAATCCTGATCGGGAACCTTCTCTGGATCTAACAGGAAAAGAAATCAAAGTCGAAATTACATTGAAATCTATTTCCCAGAAATTTGGTAACATGTCAATCACTAGATATTTTTATACATTAGACTCTTCCCACTTTGCTAAATGATTCATCTTAATAATTAGCTGCATGTCCTTCTTAGCTATGCTGTTAAAATAGTGACTTTTAAAATAAAATGAAAGGATTATTATTAAGTCATTCTTAATAAGATAATTTTAGGGGCAGGTATAGACTTAAATTTTATATATAGACCTATTATTGATCTTTGTAATAAAAAAATCTTGTCATTCTTTTCTTGTCAGGGAGAAAAACAGTCACATGATTGGGAAGGAAGGTGGCAGAGGAAATTCACACTCTGTGGAACAAACCCTAAGGTATCTTGCCAAGACACCAGGAGATCTGCAGTGTATGAGTCTGTATAACTGGCAAAATGCCAAGAAAAACAATGTAAAGTTCCAGATCCTTTTAAAATGATTCTCATAAATTTTGTGACTTTCTTGTCTGAATTCTTTTATATTGGGAGTAGAAATCACGTACATCTCTCCCTAATTTACATAATCTGAATGTAAAGGAATAAGAGACCCTTTATTCCCCACAAAGCCTTGCAACCGCCTCTTGCTTCTGGCTCTCCCATTTCAGTACACCAGTCATGAGCCTGTCAGTGACTGGCCTGTGGAACAAGAAGCTCCACAGCAGTTTTAGCTTGGATGGCTTTGTTTAAACCCACCCACCAGCAAGACTTCTGACATCTCCGTTGGAAAGGTCAAGTGTGAACACTTGTGACCAGCAACTGAAGATGACTTCAATATTTGAGGCTGAACTCATAAGGAACAGTAAACAGTGTACCAAGTCCTCTGGGTTAAACTGGTAAATGTGACTTCATGCTCAAAGTTATAGCCATTATCTGCAAAACAAAGAATGATATACCAAAATAATTTTGCATTATGCATTTGATAAAGGCCAATTTTGATTCCATTAACTAGAATAATTTATCTTAAACTAAATGAGAACCCAAAGGATCTTGACATGTTAACTTAAATGTCATCTTTCTTCTCCTTCAATGGGAAATTATCTCCGTAATTCAAGTCAAATGAAACTTCCTGGGCTGTGGATGTAGCTCAGTGGTAAAGCACTTGCCTAGCACAAGTGAGGCTCTAGTTTCAATCCCCAGTGCCGCAAACATTTTTCTGAAATACATGGTACAGTATATATAAGAACAATTTTTGTATTTGGTATTTGGGTAAAATCTTGACCTTTTTCTAATTCACTTTGTATGGACAAAAAAAAAAAAAAAAAAAA